GAGGCTCTAGTATCCAAAATCCAAGTATATTTGTTAAACAGAGATGGATTTATTAGGTTACCTTGGTTAGAGGTGGAAATAGTTGCAGAGGCAACAACAGGAGTGTGATTTTGCTCTCCAACTCCTTGTTTGTTCTCATAGGATTTCTTAAATTCCATGAACTCAGTAAAGAGACTGTCAGTAGTAAGAGAATCATGGGAAACAGTAGACACAGAGTTGATAAAAATATGGTCATTGTTAATTTTAGGACCCTTGGGACCTTTCCAGTGGGGTGGATAACCAATGACCTGATAGCAATGGTTTGTAGAATGGTTGGTAAGACCACAATAGTTACACTTGTATTTCTTTTTGTCTTTCCGGAATGTGTCTTTCAGGAATGGAGGTTTGTATGGTTTGAAAGTAGAGTGTGTGGTAGTTTTGGCAGCCATGGCAACAGTATCAAAAGATTTAGAGGATGAGGATAGATTTCTCTGACTTTCCTCTTGAAGTAAGAGGGAATATACTTTGGAAAGAGGAGGCAGTGGGGATGACAGTAGAAAATGGCTTCTCAAGGATGAGTAGGAATCATTTAGGCCAATAAAAAATTTCATAACAGAGTCAGATTGCTGTGCAGCAGTCATAGCATCAAAGATATTACATGAACAAGTAGTGAATGCACCGCAATGACAACGAAAAATAGGCCTATAGGTGATATATTCATCCCACAAACCTTTGAAACAGTTATAATATTGAGTGATAGACTGAGACCCTTGATCCATAGTACTTAAGGATTTTTCAAGTTGGAAAACCCTAGGACCACTAGATAAAGCATATCTGGACCGAAGTTCATCCCAAACCTCTTGTGCAACAGAGAAAAACAACAAGGACTGGCGGATGTCCTTACCAACAGAATTTAACAACCAAGACAATACCAAATTGTTTGCACGCACCCAAGCAAGAGATTCAGAAGGATTTCTAGTAGGATTAGGGGCAGAAATTGTACCATCGACAAAACCGAGTTTGTTTTTAACACTGAGGGCCATAGAGACAGCACGAGACCACGAAACATAATTTTCGCCGGTGAAAAGCTCAGCCACGATGAGCGCTCCTGGATTATCGCTCGCATGGACAAAGTATGGAGAAGTCGGGTCGTCGGTAGGGTTAGGATTTGCCATCAGTAACTCAGAGATCGAATTTTGGACGAGAATCAAAGCAATATGTATAGATCAAGTGTTAGTCTACAACGATATGTCACAACAGGTGCAGATCGGAGGAGAACGAGCACAGATCTAGGGTTTGAGAACAGCGAAAAATCGGAAAAAAAATCGAAAAAATCGAATGAGATATCAATATGTAGAAAAACAACAAGCGATTGCAGCGAAATGACACCAGAGATCAAAGAACTTGGCGAATGATACCATGTAAGATTGTGAATCTGAATGAAAGATGATGAAGATGAAGGCGGCGATGAGTTTAGAGAGAGAAAGAGAAAGGGAAAATAAATTTTGTATTAATGAATTAGGTCAAAACTGTACAGAGTGTTTGGTATTTATACCAAAAGCTAAGTTACCAAAATTGCTAAGGAGAAGGGAACAAATATAAAGCGCACTTACATGTTTAACAACTATATACAATATGACTAAGAATATAAAATACAAATTGGAAATTATATATAATCTAACATGTCTGGTAAAACTAACTAATAAGTTAACTGATAGTTGAAAGTTGGTTGGTAGCTTATAAAAGTGTGTTTGGTTAAATTATAACTTATTTGGTTAGTTTATAAGCTTCATGTACTCAAATAAGTTTGGTTTGGTAGGATAATTTTTTTTTTTTTTTTTTAAATTCGACCTTATCTCAAAAGTTTTTTTGCGTAGCTTTTTCAATAAACCCATTGAAATATCTATTTCGATTGACTTATCAACTAATTTACCAAACACTTTTATCATACAAATAAACTTTTCAGTCATTAGCCATAAGCTATCCGCTATAATCTCGAAACTCACTTATCAGCTATCAACTAAGTTTTTATCAAGTATAGCCTAAGTGAAAATCGAGCTTATAGTTATAGCTTATGACTGAAAAACTAGCTGATACAATAAAATTATTTGGTAAAAAGTAAAATTATATGATAAGCAGTTGAAATAAAAATTTAAATGTGATTATTTAAAAAGTTACCCATATAAACTTATGAGATGAGATGAGCTGAGTTTAAAAAAAAA